TTTGTATTTTGCCAAGTTTTTTTGTGGGACTCCATGTTTTAGGCTGTAAACTCTAAAAGTGTGTGTTTGTGTTTTAGCGGTTACCTAATACCCTCTGGGGGTGAAAGCTGCGGCCCAGGTGCATCTTTTTGAGAGGTAATCTCACACATCTGGAGACGATGTTCAGCACACACATGGCGGCCGATCTCAGATTAGTCTGGTCTGCTCCTTAATCCCTGTAATTCCAGCCTTGTTTGCACGGCATCATCCGCAATCACATTCCGTGGATTTTACCTGTGTTTGTGTGTGCCGACTCACTGTGTGTTTGTAAAGGCCTCAGCTCAGGTCACACGGGTGTGATTGATGTCGATGCCCCTCTGTGGACGATCACGGCGGGAGATTTAGAGAGACTTTTTGTCAGGCTTATTTGTCATCTGGAGTGAGAGAGGGGCGTGAATGAGAAGAATGAAAATGAAGAATGCGATAAAGTAGGACTCTATGTTCTAATCGCAGAATCAAGTCATATAATAGTATTTACTGTATAATTTAGAATGTCAGAGAATTTGGCAAAATTTTGATTCATAAATCCATTGTGATATGGATTGGTGTCTATGAATATTAAATGACAGAAATACGTTACTATTGTAAATTAGAATGTACTTCTCAAAGTAATGATAACAAAAATAAATATAGCTGCTGCAATTAAGGGGCCAAGCACAACAGAGGTAAAATAAAGAGCTAAGGAGCTGTCTTTAATTGCTCAGTAAAGACCAGGGTTCTCCAACCTGCTTCTGGAGAGCTACCTTCCTGCAGACTTAAGTTCCAACCCTGCTTCACCACACCTGTCTGTAATTAAGCATCCCTGAACACCTTGATTAGCTGGTCCAGGTGTATGTGATTAGGGTTGAAGCTGAACTCTGCAGTATGGTAGCTCTCCAGGAGCAGGGTTGGAGACCCCTGTTAAAGACATTTGTTGATACAGCATTATATATCCATTTTTGTGCAAACTTTGTCAAATTTGTTAATACGCTTTTTTTCAAAACTTTTTTCTAGAATGTTCTGAAGATGATATGAGCCAATTTTCGTGAAAATTAGACAGACCGTCTATGACGAGTTTGAAAAAGTAGATTTTTCGTAAAAGGCAAAATTGCGAAAAGTCTTGACCCATAGAAATAGACAAGAATTTTGCCCACCGGTACTTAACAAAACCTGGTACTGTAACGTTTTCATTTTTTTAGTACCGACTTGGTACCGAAGTACCGGGTCTTTTGACAACACTAGCCAGCAGAGAAGTTAAGAACTTACAATAATTGGATTGGCAATTGGTTCTTCTCTGTGTGGCCTGTTTTTCTTTTTATATCTCACGTTTTTACTATAAATGGCTCATTGTGTCTTTATATCTATTTGTGACTTTATATTTTAATTTTATTTACCGTGATTTTGACATTTATATACCACAATGTGACTGTCTCACAATTGGGCCTTTTTATCTCACAGTTTTGCCAATCTGACAATTCTGACTTTATATATAATCGTTACTTTGTTTTTGCACATTGAGACTATATTTCAGTTTTGACTTTAAATGCAATAAAATTGGCTTTATATGTCACAGTTTTGATCTCACAATTATGACTATCAATAGTGACTTTATATCTCAAATTTTAATTTATATGCAACAATGTTACAGTCTCATACTTTTGACTTTGTCATATAAAGTCAAAATTGTGAGATATAAAGTGTGACTATATATCTCAGTTTTGACTATACGCCACAAAATTTCCTAGTTATATTATGTCTTTGTCACAATGTGACTTTTTATCTCAATTTTGACTTTATATCTCGCATACTTGACTTTATATCTCATTTTGACTTTGTATGCTACAAAATTGACTTTATAGTCACAATTTTGTCTTCATCTCAAATGTCTTTATATGCCACAGAATTTACTTTGTCATAATTTGTCATAGTTGTTCCACAATATGACATAAAAGTGACTTTTTCTTACAACTGTGACTGTATATGCCACAATGAGAATTTATCTTGACAGTTTTGACCGTACATCTCACAATTTCAACTTTACAAAGTGATTTTGAAGTCTGCAAAATTTTTTTTTTTTCAAAATTGTCACTTTATATGTCGCTATCATATTATACGCAATTAGAATCTTAAATTTCTTCCTCACAATTACCATTTTTATATTTTACTCTGAGGTGGAAACAAGTTTCCGTACATGTGGTTGAGTTGTTGACTTAACAATGACTTAACAGTCAGTGACCAAACAAGACAATGTTTTGTATTTTTTGTAAGGAAACCGGTTTCAAACCGGCCTCCAAGGCACCATAACATCACATCTAATGATCTAGAACAATTGAGCTTTAGAGGTTAACAAGGAAATATTTAATGATTGTATACTACCGTCTTTAAAACCCAACGCTTGTGGCGGGGCGCTTGAAAAACAACATAGTGAATGTGTATATCTATATGTTCATTTGCCGGTAGAAACAGAATCATAAATTGAAAAATCAAAAAGCATTTTTACAGTTTTGGGCTCCGCCAATAACTCTTTCCTCATATGTAACTCAAATAGAGAAATGCTACAACTCGGCTGAGCCCTAATAGTCTATATTCCCTTAATACATGCATACACATTCACAAGTCCTCTCAGAGGTCGTGTTGTTGACGAATGCCTCTCGGTAGAATTGAAAAGCCGAGAGTGTGTTCGTGTTACGGCCCTCACGAGACACATCTGTGACCGGCCTGGCTGCTATTATGAGGGAAGGAGTTTTCATTGTTTTTTTGTTTTGTTTGCAGCTCCGTGATTGGCTGAAATTGACATACGCTCTTTTCTGTGAGTCACACGCCTCTACAATCCTTCAGGAATAATGTGCAGCGTGTATATACACAACAGCGGTGATGAATATCCCAGCCCACATGCTTCAGGCCCAGAAATAGAGTTTGATCAGGTATGAACACTTAGGGCAAGAACCAGAGAGAGACGCGCAGAAAGACGGCCATCTATCAAACCCGTGGAGAAGTGATTCCCCGAGATTAGTTTCTCCCTCTCTCTGATCTGGACGATTTCTGCGAGAAATGTCAGCCCATCGAATCACACAGACCGGGCTGGGGTGCGCGGCGCAATATTTCCCCGTGATTGATGATGCGTATTCCTGTCGCGTGTCACCGGTTATTGTTTTCCTGAGAAACAGATGCAGATGACTTCATATCAACTTCATATCTCCCATACGCGTTACCTGCCCTCGCAACTGATGTTCCCTGGCGTTTTTTGTCTTTCATTAAGCCGTTGTTTCCTCTGCCAGGCCTTTGACGTGATTGGAAAGGCGAGCCGGGCGAAGAAGGGAAGTGCTAATTCATTAGTGGCTGGCGAATGAATTCATCAGCCGGCCCGGCTTTATGGCCGCTTGTCAACGTGCCAATCGGAGATGGTCAGAGACCACGGCACGCTCAAACGAATTCTCTCTCATTACCGTCAACGTCCTCTCGGCTCATAACGCTACCGTGACATTATGTTTGACAGCTTCTGATTCCCTTGTCACATCTAATTTGACCATTGATGCTTAACGCATGTGCTCACAAACACAGACGCCTGTCGACTTGGGTTTAATTTTTAAATTTCATTTATATTTGTTTATCATACCGCCTGTCATGTTTATATGATCGTAACTGGTTTGGGAAAAGTGCTGTAAGCTACTCGACCGATGCGTTTCACACACAGGCTCTCAGCCGTTACATTAGAGTCTGTTCTATTGACAATTAATGTATGGTTGCGGTGTAATGTGTCTAATTATTGTCTGATAGCTGTGTCTATTAACTCGTTAGTAATTACTTATTACGTTTCGCCCCATTTGAGGCACCTGCTGGAATAATAGCACCTCTCGACAAGAGATAAGTGTGTGTGTTTTTCAGTATAGCATGCTTGCAGAATATTTGTGGTATGCATACTGTGTGCGCTGTTGGATAAGTTTTTGTTTGCATGGAAAACAGGATTACCTGTATTTGCCAACATGTGAACAGTGAACGCTCCAGGGAGCATTGTATCCCACAATGCAATGCACTCAACTTGACCTTTCCAGTGTGACGAATGAGCCAGCAGTAGCACCAGCTGTAATTTATTTATTTATTTATTTTAACATCATCTTGATTCGTTGTGGTTGGACTGCCAACATCAAGACAAAATGTATATTGATGTTTTTCTTTTTGATTGATTTAAATTTGAAAGTTATATAAAACGTAAATTAAGATTTTTATTGTTTATTTATTGTTTCGTATTCATTAAAATATTTGTAATCTTTATATTTTCAACTCTCATTTTTTAATTTCATATAAATAATACAATACTGCAATTTATCAATTTTTTTCATTTTATTGTTTTAGAATTTTTAGAATTACATTTTTTTTTAAATTTTATAGAATGTTTATATATATGTATCATATTTTATATAAAATTAATTTGTATTATCCAGACTTTCTCATACTGTACATCCAAAGTAAACAGCAACTATTCTTCCAGTCTTACATTCATAGTAATTTTTGAAGCATCTATTATTAATATTGGCCTGTGTTATTCAGGGCTTTTCTCTGAGCGAGAAAGAATTATCAATATTGCATTATAGTACAGTTACACTGATCATCCATTCTACCTTCCAACGAACAAATCCTTGCACCTTTCTTTTGTGTAAACTTTTGAACTTTATGATCTTGAGGAATGATGTCATATTCAGAGTTAACTTTTTCATGCTGTAATTCCTCCTGTACAATGATTTATGTTGTGGATTTTGTATGAAATAAACGAGGACAAACCGTTTGATCAGTGTGCTTATGCTAGTACCTACAGTTATTCTTATTTTCAGCTTTGTGTGTCTCTTGTTATGTCCTTGTAAAATAGCCTAAATGTGATGTGTATAAACATTATTTTTTGACTTTTTGAGATTGTGGCTGTTTTGTTTGTTTGTTAGTGATGTTTTTCCTGTTCTCTAATCTGACTGGTGTTTGTCTGTCCTCAGCTGAAGGCTGTGTATGAGAAGATGGAGCTCCAGCAGAGGGCGATGGTGAGTCCCGGGGGGAGTGTGGCGTCCAGTCGCTCCAGCCCTGACCCCTCTGAACCTGAGCTCAGTGTCCTGCAGCCCTACCTGGGCAGTGAGATCGAGGTCACCCACTCTGCCCTCAAATCAAGTACGTATGTCAGTGCTGCAATTCACATGTCCACATCAATCAAAAAGAAAAACATGAATGATGTGTTTAGCAGAATCTGCAATAGAATTTTTATTTTATTTTATTCCTTTTTTTCAAATAACTCAACTCTTGGTTAACTCAAAAAGGCTATTATAAATTATTATAGAAATACATTTTTGATTTTATTTATTGTATTATTGTTATATTGTATTTTTATTCAGTAATTAAGATTTTATTTCATTTTATATTTTATTTTATTCTATATTCTATATTTTATTTTATTTTATAGTGAAGTCTTGGATATGTTATGTTAGATTTTGTTCAGGGTGAAATTGTTGTTGATCTAAATTCTAAACGATTATTAAAATATTATTTAAAAAAATATATTTAAAAATGTTATTATAAATTACAATGAAATATATATTTTTAATTTAATTATTGTATTACTGTTGTATATATTGTATTCATATTCATTGAATTAAGCATTTATTTTATCTTGTTTTATTTAATTTTTTTGGTCAAGGAGAGATAAAAAAAAAGGCTGTAAAAACAATTATAAGTCAGAGAGGTATATTTGTGGGTTCTGTTTGAAACCCCAAAGCCTCTAAGGGTTAAACAATACTTTGTTTCCAACATGCACAAGTGTCTTTCATTTCCAGCAACCACAGACCGACTGAATGAAGAAAACATCTGTATGTGCACATCGGTATGAGTGTGTGTGGTACACAGTTGTAGATAGTGAATGTGGATTGTTTTCATAGTTATGTGTGAACTTGTGTACATGTGTGGTTGCATTAGTAGCAGCACATAATTGAGCTGATGTTGTGTCTGTGTAAGTGTGGTTTAGTGTTAACTCACTGTTTTGTATAACGTTTTGAAACAACATAAGGGTGAGTAAAATTGATGACAGAATTTTCAGTTTTTGGATCACTGTCCATTTAAGGCTTCTTAGCGACCACCCATAATGCCCTAGCAACTACATAGCAGCAGATTTGTGACTATAAAAGTGGCTAACGCTCGCTCGATGTTTGACTGGCACAGCTGTATCAATTCAAATGAATGCAAACGTTACACTTGCCATTTCTGAATCCATCATTGTGACTGCTCACTCAGCCTTGCCCTGGCTAACCTTCCCATAATGCTCCTCTCTGAAGCCAGACTGGAGGCAGATGTCCCTGTGTACACCTCAAACACTGCCATGTCATTACATTACAAAAAGTCCACTGTCAGCTGCACACACACAATGCTCGTCTCGCTCATTTATCAATTAAATGATGCCGGGGACAAAGGAACCGTGCCCAATGTAGTTTAGTAGCTGTGCCGTAGTGTCTGTGTGTGTGTGTGTGTCAGCACTTGGGATTTGCTGTTGAAACACAGCCGGGGCGTTAGGGAAGTCAAAAAGGAGTCTTATTGAATCAGTGGCACTAAAGAGGAGGAAAGGCCTTCATGGGATCAGGGTTAACTTAATTAGTGTGTGTGTGTGTGTGTCTGGGGTGCAAACAGGAATAACGGCAGCATTTGAATGAGTTCATGCTTGGCCGGACCTCCGTTGACTTCAGAACAGTGTACACTGCTAATCTGGTTAGTAGATGTGGATGTTGTCGGTTTAAGTTGCTATACTTGGAGGGCAAAATTGTCCCTAGAAGTTTGCTATAAATTACCAAACATCTTGTTGAATTTTACATTTAAAAAAATGTATATGCATCAGCTTTACAACATTTTAGTTTTATTTTTTGTTTATTTAATTTTATCATTGACTCATTTTGTTTTGTTTTGGCAGAAATATATATATATATATATATATATATAATTATTAATTTATTAATTAAATATATATTCATTTTAATATAAAACATAACATTTATTGATTTTTTATAATAAAATATTTAATAATGGTTTTATAATATTTGAATTTATTTTTATTCTAAAAATGAATAGGGTTACTTTATAGCGATTATAATGAACTTTATATGAAGCTTTATATCTGAAGAGGCAAAAGAAAAGGTTGTGCTGTCACTTTACATTTATGTTTTTTATTTTTTAATATATCATATAATAATAGTAAAAATACATAAGAATAATATTTAATAAAATATTAATAATATTAATAAATAATAATAAAAATGGTTTTGATTTTTATTCTAAAATGAATAGATTTATAGTAATTATCTAAAAATGAATTCATTTTTAGTAATTATTCTATTTATATGGGTTTGAAAAGGCAAAAAAGGTTAAATGCTGTCAATATGTGTCGATATATTGGATTTTTTCTTTATTTTCCTTATAGCAAAGTGAATAATTAAATGTGTTAACTGGCGTTTGTTCTTTTCGCTAAACATCACACGATATTCAGAAAAAAAAAATTCTACTTGAAAACATACATTTGATGCAAAACCGTCAGCAGTAGTGTGTGTAGTTGTTTTAATTTATGTGAGCTGCTGTTTTGACTTAGTTTAGCGAGAAATAGATATTTCTGAATTGCTTTGTTTTGCAGTTCTCCAACAGTGGGTCTCTGAGGGTTAAACAGACCATCCTGTACAAAAGCACAATGAGATTTCCCCAAAACAAAACTTCTAAGCCACTTTGGCTTTTATTCTGCCAGGGGGCGGGGCATAAGAGTGAGTGACAGTTGGTGACTGCTGAATAAAGATGACTAGAGAGGGGCAGTGGGTCATTGCTCAGTCTGTGGGTCAAAGACATACATTAAAGCACTGGGTAAATGTGAGGTTAAAGAGGTGGAGATGATACAGAGGATGATTGGCAGCGTGACAGATGTCAGTCAGAGCTCAAAGGACTGCCCTCACACCTGCCGTACAGACATGAGAGAGAAGAGACACAAGAGATTGTTTGAATTGGCATTTTAGCCTGTAAAAAAACACAAGTAAATATACCACATGCACTGTATAGTGAATACTGTTATTAAATGTGAAACCTTAGCCAACGATAAACATTTCAAACTGTATTTTGGTGAATTGTTGTCCCATAACCACATTAAAGTCGTGTTTACATGTTCAGAATCAGATATTTTGAAACAAATCTTCAACAAGGAAAACAATAAGAAACACGAAAGCATCAAGGAAATGATGAATGAAGTTAGTGAAGGACAAATTTGTCTCCAAAAGTGTGATATGACCATACAAATCATGCAAGTTTTTTTATTTACATTTTTAAATAAATATTTACATTTTAAATAATTATTTTTTATTTTTATTATTTATAATAAAATTATTTCAGTATTATTACTAAAATATTAATGAGTAATTCTACTTTTAATTTTAAGTTCAAGTTAATTAAGTTATTTATTATTAAAAAGCAAACATTTCTGTTATTTAGCAAAAATATTTTCAAAATATTTAAAAATAGATAATTATTCTGCCAAATAGTAAAGTCTTGGATCTGTTTATCTTATAATTTAGGTTTTGGTCGATGAAATTGTTGTTGTTTGCTATATATGACCATACATATCATTCAAGTTTTTCTTTTTGATTTAATATTTTAAACAATTCCAAATTGTTTTGTTTTGTTTTGTCAATAGATAATTCTTCTGCCAAATAGTAAAATCTTGGATCTGTTAATATGAATAAACTATAAATATAAAGTAAAAATACTCTACATCATTTTTATTTTATCCTTTATTCTAAATTGCTATTGTTTTATGGAAAGGGTTAGTTTATAGTAATTATAATTAGCTTAATTTGGGTCTGAAGAGACACACTTAACCATATAAAAGCATATAAGCTCGTTTTTCTTGTGAGATCTTGATTGAAAGATGTGTGATTGCTGTCATGGGTAACACATGGGCAACATATTAGTGCAGTGCACTTTAAACAAATTAGACCTGCTGTTCATGTTTACTCAGTCAGCACACAAGGAAAGAATTGAGGAAAGGGTTTTTTCAGATGTAATTATGGAACGCCGCTTTGTTCCGTCAACCAGAGTTTGTTCCTGCTCAAGCCGTAACAGTCCTCAGAAACCGCAAATCTGACTGTCTCTGCGGCACGGCGCTATGATTACAGCGGCATCGATCCCTGACCTGCCCGCTCTCGTCTCACACACACACACACACACACACACACTCACACTAGGGCTGTCAAAAATGAATTCGAATTTTGCACTTAAATATTATCAATATTCAAATTTAAAAAGCATAATTTCAGTTGGGGGGGAAAAAGCTTTTGGCTTCTCTCCCGAGGCCACAAGAGGGCGTATCGAGCAAAATATTACTAATGCACGTTTATTAAAGCAATAAAACAACATGACTATCTGTGAAAAAGTGCATAATGTTCATAAACCAAATATAATTAATTTTATATAATATAAAAAGTTGCTTAAACAATTATAAACAAAAGAGCATCATGTATGCATAGTTTAATACAAAGGGACGAAAGCCAATCACACAGAGTACTTTTTTCATTTAAAAACATGAGATGTAGTGGGATGGGAAAAAACATCTCTCTCACACTCACACTCTCACACACGCACACACACACACCGCTCCCAGCGGCACCTGAGGTGGGCGGCCGCTCATACCTGTCAGCCATTGATTACCAATAAGACAGAATTACATGTTAACAGACTGTCGATCTCAAACTTCTCTTTGAATTTGGTTCTTGGTGCATGCTTTTCCCCCCTTTTTATATATTTTTGGTAACATTCAACCCCTCTTGGCTGAATATCTTTATTTTTGTCGTAGTGACTCGACACAGATGGGAATAACCGCAGCATAGAGCTGTGACAAACAGACGACGCGTGACTAAAAGAATGTGCTCGCTTGACCCCATTTCACATGACAGACCTCTCAGGGGTCAAAGGTCAAGAGGATTCGCCATGCTGTCCTTCATCCTAGAAGTTTAAACCCAGATTTGAGAGCAGTTTTCTTATTATTTTTATACTGCTTAGTGATTGTAGTTGAGTGGGAAGCTATCTGAGGCGTGTAGTTAAATTCGGGACTTTTCGCTTGACCTTTATGTTGATTTTTACGCCAAGAACATATTTAACAG